TCTGCCGGCGGTGTGTGTTTGGTGGGGGGGGGGCATGTATCTTGGTAACAGGTTCATTCTGCCCTGCTGGGCCCTGTGGCTCTAACCCCGTAACTCCCCCCGCCCCGCTCCAGAGTTTTATTTTTCTATTTATAAATGGTAATATAATGTTGCACACGGTTCGCCAGGCCCTGGGCTGCCAGGGCCGTGCGCCCGGCCGGGGGTTAAAGATGCTTTAACTCTCTGGGGGGTTTTTCAAATCATATTTAATGTTTTTTAATAAAGAGATTGTGTAGCCTGGAGAGAGGCCGCAGCAGCTGCATCCTTCCCCCCCATTTCCTCCTTCCTCTCTGGCCCGGGGAGGTGGGGGAGCAGACTGGAAGTTGCCCAGATCCCCCGTGCCATGGGTGGCAACAGGCACAGGGGCACTCAGGCCTGGGTTTTCCATGTCTCCCCTACTGACCCCCATGGCACTGACACCAGGCACAGCTTGTGTCTCCCACCCCCCCAGGTCACACCCAGCACTGCTTAGCCTAGGGGAAAGCAGCCAGGTGCCCTGGACGCTGGGGGAGCAGACTGGAAGTTGCCCAGATCCCCCGTGCCATGGGTGGCAACAGGCACAGGGGCACTCAGGCCTGGGTTTTCCATGTCTCCCCTACTGACCCCCATGGCACTGACACCAGGCACAGCTTGTGTCTCCCACCCCCCCAGGTCACACCCAGCACTGCTTAGCCTAGGGGAAAGCAGCCAGGTGCCCTGGACGCGCCCCTCACCTAGTCCTAGCTCCTGCCTCTCTGCCGCCCATGGGGCCCCAGATCCTGCCCCCAGCCCCTCCCCCACCAGCATCCCACTGCACATTCCTCGCTTCGCATTTGCATAGTGAAGGTCAAGTGGGTGCGGGCCTGTGAGATCAGTCAGTGTTTGCGCCCAGGGAGGCTGGCTGGGCCTCTCCCTCAGGCCCTGCTCCCTTCTGGCTCCTCTCCTGGGGGCGAGCACACGGCCAAGTGCCAGCAGGGGTGGGGCTGGCGTCACTGGAGGAACAGCAGCACCCTACGCCCTCCCCAGCCTGGCTGGCATCTGTTCCGCCCCAGGTGCCTTTTCCCCCCTTACACTGAACCTCCCCCACCCCCGGCACCGCAACGAGACCAGCACCGCGGCCA